GCTTAATTACAAAACAAACAAACAAACAAACATCTTCCACCTTTGGCGCGGGTTTGCCCTGTAGTTGAGCTTTGGAATTCGGAGCTGGCATGTCGGGTTCGAATCCGTGCGAGTTCACAAATTATCTCCCGTCCTTTAAGCTGTGGGTGCATTATAAGAGTGACAGCCAATTATTTAGCTTTGGTGATAACTGGTAGGATGACGCTAACTTTCCCCTTTCCACCTGATGAGAAGTTCAAAATTATGGACTGGGGGGGGGGGGGCAGATAACCCTAGTAGCTTTGCCATAAACACATATACAAAATGTTTTTCCTATAGCAGTTCCACTGCTCATTAAGATCAATATCCTTTAACAAGGCAAGCCAAATTTCTTAATATAGTTTGTTTTAGAGCAAAGCCATATTGGGCTATCTGCTGTGTCCACTGCATAAAATCGAACCCTAGATTTTAGCTTTGTAAGCCTGTAAACTTCGAACTGTCCCACCGAGGGACATACCTTACTGTTAATCTGGGTCAGAGAGTTTCAGACTTTTTCAACGTTGATTAAGTTTCTTTCTATTGGCGTCAAGTACATTGCATCAACATATTTCTTAAATGAAGGGTGTAATCTTCCTCAGGTTAACAACAAAAGAGGGTAAGTAGTGCCTTTAAATTTTGATACAACATAAAATGTACTGAAATATAACTCATGTCATCAACAGTAATAGCAGACTTTGGTTTTCAGACAGTGTGTTGAAACAATTGCGCACCACAAACACTTTTTAAATTACTGCCGTTACAGATGTTCGAAACCCACACAGTTGATGTCACGACAAAGCGTCACAACTGGATTAGTGACATTCATACCGACTTAGAAATAAAAGAGAAACAGTTAGTGAAATACAAAACCGACTTACAGAAATATTAAAGATGGGTTAAAAGATTAGAAGAACCTACAAGTGTAAGTAAGTTAGAATGTGGAGACGTCACTGGACATTGACACACGGGGGCCGTGCCCGATTCTATTTGACAGTGCCTCGAATCTTTAATCGGTGTTTTGAAAATCAGAATAGAAAACCAGGGTCAAAATTATACTGAAACGTTGATAATTCCCAAACTTGGTGGCCTTCAGTACAATTCTCGCGCAAAAAGGAGAATCGTCATTGGTCAAACCAGACTTTCACGTCATCATGTTGCGTTTCTTGACTACAGCGTCACAACTGGATTAATAACATCCATACCAACTTAGAAACAAAAGAGAAACAGTTAGTGAAATACAGAAAAATGTTAAAACATAGGTGCTATGAGAAAGCCAAACATTCAAAACGTTAAATACCATAAGTAGCTGCACTATAACTATATAAGCATAATTGTTTACCTCCCAGTAACAAGTGGTTCACCCAAAACCCCCTCCCTCCTGCGTACATACGTGGAAACATTTCAGGAAATGATATTACAAGTAGTAAGGGAGATATAAAAATTACACACCATATATATATTTCTGCATGTTTGTGTGTTTTGTTTGTTTGATCCTAATTAAGCATAAAGCTACACAATAGGCTATATGTGCTATGCCGAAACCCAGATATTTAAGCCTACAGACATATCGCTGTTCCAGTGGAGGCATATCTATAAAGAAACCTGACACTGGGAGAGATTTTTTTAACTATAAATTCGGCAGTGAAATTATTGAATATAATTTCAGCCCAACTCTTGGACAATATAGTCTATCGGTGGAAGTAACATCACATAATTAAAAAAAAAGAATGTTTAGAATGTATCACAGAACAAAACAATATCTCTTAAAATTCGTGACAGAAAAATTCGTAATCTAAAGATAATACATGCTAGTGCGCAGTAGTTATGTTCATCCTATTAGATCAGGGGTCACCAAACTACGGCCGCGGGCGGGATCCGGCCCGCCGCTGCACTGTGCCACAAATGAGCTAAAATATAATTATTGATATGGAAATATAATAGGTTGTAGATAAACTTACTATGTAGAAAAAATTAAAATAAGAGTAAGTAAAAATGTCCAAATTTGTCCAATCTGATTTTTTTCATCTGACAGTAATATAAGTTTTAGGAAAATCAGTGAAATAAAAATTCGGCGACTTTGGATATCAGAGCGCTTTTTGTGTAAGTACCTGCAATGAGCGTTCATTCCTGCAGTCGCCTCTGCGCGCATTGTTGTAAGACGATACAATGCTTACAGGCAGTTGATACAAGTAGTGTGACGAGTGTGCACGTGGTTACACAGCTTTGTGATAGAGAAGACGTGTGCGTTTATTGTGTGTGCTTCTACGTATATTTGTGTGTTGTACATATGTGTTTATATATTTATATTTAAATCTGGAACATTGGTTCATTACACGGATTAAACCCGAACAGGCGACTTTTTGCGACTTTGGATATCAGAGCGCTTTATGTTTAAGTACCTGCAATTAAGTTTCCAAGAAAA